CCAGGTGTCGACGCTCCTTCCAGTCCAACGTCTCCACCGTCTCTGGTTCCGATGGTGGTTCTGAAGGTCGCTCCGGCCCAGCCTGCAGAGACTATCACTGGCCCAGCTTGCAGAGACTTTGTCACTGGCCCAGCCTGCAGAGACTTTGTCACCGGCCCAGCCTGCAGAGACTTTGTCACCGGCCCAGCCTGCAGAGACTTTGTCACCGGCCCAGCCTGCAGAGACTTTGTCACCGGCCCAGCCTGCAGAGACTGTCACCGGCCCAGCCTGCAGAGACTTTGTCACCGGCCCAGCCTGCAGGGCTCCTCTATCGTAGACGCAGGCCCCCAAGCGTCCGTCCTTGCCTCCTCCTATGCCGCAGACGCAGGCCCCCAAGGGTCCATCCTCGTCTCCTCCTCTGCCGCAGACGCAGGCCCCCAAGGGTCCGTCCTCGTCTCCTCTTCGGCCGCAGGCGCCGGCCTCCAAGGGCCCATCGCCTCCTCTTCTGCCACAGGCGCCGGCCTCCAAGGGTCCGTCGCCGCTTCATCTGCCACAGGCGCCGGCCTCCAAGGGTCCGTCGCCTCCTCATCTGCTGCAGGCGCAGGCCCCCAGACTCTGCTGATCCCTGCAGCCTCTCCGGCGGTCCCTCGGTTCTTCTGGGCCCTCCCTCCGGGTCCCCCTCCTCTCGCCCTGTTCCTTGGTCCTGTGGGCGTCTGGGATCCGCCCGTTGAGGGGGGGGGGGGGGTACTGTCACACCCTGTCCTGTCTCCCTGTCTAGTTCAGCTCTGTGTCTCGTTAATTACTCCCACCTGCCTCTTGTTTCCCAATCACCTTAGCTCCCGGTCCTCCTGTATTTAAACCCCGTCTGTTTTGTGTCCTGTGTCGAGTCATTGTTTCAGTGTCCAGCGTGTCTCCTATAAACTCATGTCAAACGGACTTACCTGTTCGCCTTCTTCCTCCCCGCATTTGGATCCTACCTCCGCTCCACTCGCCAGGCACGCGCGTGACACATTCAATGCGTTTTCTTTATTTTCACGACCATTTGCATTGGGAGATTCTCACTGAAGGCGTCACAGCTATGAATGAACACATGTGAAGTTATGTACTTAACCCAAAAAGGTGAAATAACTGAAAACATGTTTTATAATCTATTTTCCTCCAAAATCAAAAAGCCACCCTTTGCTCTGATTACTGCTTTGCACACTCTTCAATTCAATTCACTTTAAATTCAATTCAAAAGTACTTTATTAATCCCAGAGAAAAATTGATTAACTTAGCATTTTCTTGATGAGCTTCAAGAGGTAGTCACCTGAAATGGTTTTCCAACAGTCTTGAAGGAGTTCCCAGAAGAGTTTAGCACTTGTTGCCCCCTTTGTAAATGGTCATGGTCATGAAAATGAACAAAACACATTGAATGAGAAGGTGTGTCCAAACTTTTGGCTTGTACTGTACCAAGACACCCCATCGAGTGATGCTGCCTATTGGAGCTGGCACAGCAGCGGGCTGCCATCTTGGATGGGTTCTATAGCAAAAACTAAAGATTTATATCTATATGTATCAAATATGGTGTAGATTTAGCTTGTTTAGTCGTTTATAATCTTATATTAATTACTCGGGGCACCACCAAGTCTTTCTTCGTGTGAACTTGGAACACTTACACTGATATTCAGATTTGTTCAGTGTAATCAGTCTCAAATTTAACACCACAACTTAATCTAAAGGATGAATTCTTGCCAGAATGAGCCTACTATTCTCGAGATCGCTAGGAATGATCAGGCGTTATTTACTTTTTGGTGAATTTATTACAAACATCTGTTAATACATTGAAAATGGATCAAACACATCTTATAGTTTCATGCATGGAATTAAGAAAATGGTTAAATCCAAAGCTTTATAGCAGTGACATGAAATAACTGATCTGTAATAAAGTGGAAATTTGGTGACACAAAAGATTATAGTAAAATGGGGAATAATTTCTAAAGGGGGAACACATGAATTTTCATGTGAATTTATGGGGAGTGTGTGTGTATGTGTGTGTGAATGTAAATGAGAGTTGGTGTGTGTGTGTGAGTGTTTAAGCAAATAAGGATTCATTGCGGCAGATAAAGAAGGGTAAATCTTGAGAGCTAAACGTGAATTTGGATCGAAACAAAACACACCATGAAAATGGGATAATCTGAATTCACGAATCGGCTTAGCAGAAAAGTCAGCCAGATGAAAATGATTCACAGACCTTTCTCCTTGTCGCCAAGGGTGGCCAAAGGGCTGGGGCAGCCTTCAAGTCCTCGCTCATGTGAAGAGGCTTCTGGCCCCGAGTCGGTCAACGGTCGTCTGTGTAGGTGAGGATAATGTGCTCCTCTACAGTGGCTTGACTTTAAGTTCCTTCACTTCGCCTGCCCCAAAATGTGCAATCCAGATCGCAGGTCCAAATTATCCAAAACGAAGTTGAATCAGAAAAATTGCTCCAAATTAGTTTTAACACTTAGTGTGAAAACTCGACCGGACCAAGCCGACTTCCGGTTTCACGTAGAAGATCAAAACAAAACAACGGAGTTGCCCCTGAGTTTTACCGTAACTTTTGAGAGAACCCGACGAAAATTAATCTGAGAATAATGTGGATTTCCGCTACAGTTCCCATTCGCCCCCAGTGCATTTATTTCTAGTGATGATCGTGTTTTCCCAGCTAAAAAACCCATTTTATTATGCTATTTCTCAAAAATCAGACATATGATATGGCATGATAGTTAAAATATAAATACTACCTAGATTACATCCCAACAGGTAGGCTAGAAAAGCCAACGGTAAACCCAGGTGATGTGTTTTCAATAATGCGCCCATTGTTGCAACCTAGGCTGGACAAAAAAAAAGGGCTTAGTTTCCCACCCTGTGTTGACTCCAGTTGGATTTAGAGAGAGTGAGGAACCCACCCAATATGGAGGTGACGCTGTGATGATCTCCAGTGCTTAATGGGGTGTCTACTTATTCATGTACAGTATATAAGGAGCCTAAGTCATGCCCATCTACCTTCGGACCATGGGTTCCCGGAAGAATGAAAATCAATGGGGCAAAAAACGCTTTTTTCTAATTTTGTTTATGTGCCATGGATTTCACATATGGTGTCCATGCATTTTAAAGACAAATTTTCATGCAAAGAAAGTGCTTATGGGGGGAAACGTTATTTTAGATTTTGTGTGAAAATATGTAGAAAACTACAACTACATCACCAAATTTATATAATAGAACCGTACACAGAGAAAAGCAGAAGTAAAATGGCCGTAAGTTCAGCAAACTTCAAACCCTTCTATCAGGAGGAAAGAACCACCATAAATCTGGCCATTTGGCAGAGGCATGGACTCGAGTCACATGACTTGGACTTGAGTCAGACTTGTGTCATTTTAATGACTTCTGACTTGACTTGATAAAATCTATAAAGACTTACAATTCAACTCGGACTTGAACGCCAGTGACTTGCGACTTGAATCGACTTGCATCTGTCGACTTGATGATGACTTGAGCATATTTGATATTTTAGCACAAAAGTGGCACGACATGGACAAAAATCATAAATCATTCTTCGTTCTGGGTTTGATTTTTTTCTGCTAAATGCAGCAGCACATTGTTTATAATCCGTTTCAGTTGCACTTTCTGCTTGTTTGAGCAAATAAATGAAGCTTAAAGAAACTTAATTTCTGGAATTTATTCCTTATCATTGTCATTAAATTGAAGTTTCACAGATGACTTGTTTATGACTTGAAAATTCAAAGTTAAGGACTTGGACTTGACTTGGACTTCGACATCATAGACTTTGGACTTAACTTGGACTTGGTTGTCTTTGACTTGACTCGCGACATGACTGGAAAGACTTGTGACAAAGCAGTGACTTGGTCACACCTCTGCCATTTGGTAAGTAGCAGCTATGCTAGGGGAGAGGAGATTATGTGGGGACATCATGTGATGTACCAATGTCTGATTTGTAGTCATGCATATTACAAACTTTTACAAGCAATCTCAAAGTGTGTGACTGGTGTGGTTTAAACATGCATTTGCATGCCACTTTTTTCTAAACTAACTTTTACTTGGCATTAATACCTGTGCTATAACCAGTAGCGGTTTTACCATTAGGCATAGGTCAGCGGCCACCTGGGGCCCCCTTATGTTGATGGGCCCCCTAGACTTCTGGCACCCCTCTGTTAATGCCCCATTGGACTATTCCTTTAAGACTCGATGCACAAACAGGAAGTGATTGGTAGTCATTCCACTACAATCCAGTTGGTGGCAGTAATCATAAGTCCACAAATAAGAAGAAGAAGAGAGGTGGGAGCATTCGTAACAAACTCGAAGCGGTAGTCAAAACATTAAGCATGTAATGGAGTTATCCTAGTGGCTCCAATAAGAAAAAGAAGCAGCTTGCTTTAAAAAAGATTTTATCTTCACTTCCGAAAGTGACATTGGTTTTCTATTTAAACGTCAAAAGGAAGCAGAAAGGAAAGACAATGGAAAAATTTTTAAGGCAAGAAAACAGACCAAAATGGAAAATAGAAAAAAAAGTTAAACAAAGGCAAAAGCAAAAGCACAGGAGCACTGGCATGAAGAAGAAAGTAGAGCAAATATTGAAAGCACTTAAAGAGAAGGAAAGACAGAAAAAAGAGGACTAATAAAAAGGGAAATAAACTCATGGCAGAAGAAGGGAGAGTTTTGCAAATCCAGTTAAAGGTAAGATTGTCAAAAATTTTGTGCAAGGGGGCCGCATGTCTGTGTTCGCCTTGGACCCCCAAATAGCTAAATCCGCCACTGGATACAACGTGGTTGCATGGGTGAGTTTTAAGTGACCCTTTATTACAAAGAAAAGAAAAATGTCTGAATTGTCACATCTGCAAATAAAAGACAAGAAAAGCCAGGTTGTCGAGCTGCTAGAATACCTATCTTCACATGCAGAGACAAACATCTGCAGTCGTAAAGGCCCTGCAGAAATGTTTTACCTGACTGTGTTGTAACTTGTGGTCTGGGAGTGTGCGCTGCTTGGCAGACTCTGACGTTGCAACGCAGGTTTTGAGGGCTGAGCAGGCCGGGGGCCCAGTGCTGCTGCTGCAGGTTGTCCGGTAGGGTGCCTGTCGAGCTACAAACATGCTGTTGATGTCAGGAGCAGAGCGGGGAAACGTGAGGAATGGCTGAAAACTGACGGTACCCTCCTGCAAGGAAACAAACCAGGACGCAAAACATTGTCCGGTGTGAGTTTAGCCGAACGTTTTCCACCGCTACAGACTCAACCTCTCTTCCAGCGACGCACGACGGCGCGTTGCTAGTTACTATTAATGTTTTTGCTATTTAATGGGACAACGAAAACGCAAAAAAACGCAAGGTACCCTGCCGCTCCTGCTACTTTAAGGACAAATGCGATAAAAGCGGGGCTGAGAAATGCTTCGCTCTGAGGTAACTCGCTCGTCTTCGTTTGGGTTTTAAGCTGGTTCCGGAGCTCGCGTGCATCTTTTTTCGTCGAGCTCGTGAATGAACGTTAGATACGGCTGGGCTTCATCTGTTCGTGCCTTAGCCGACCGACCACATGAGAAGTCGACGTGCGGAGTAGACTCAAACCACAAACAAAGGCACCCGTTTTTATTCCCCACCGCTCCCACCTGAAGAAACGACGAGAAAATGCGTGTGGATTTGTTTTGGATGTGTTTGTGGTGTTTAATTCGCCACAGTGTCTCCGGTCAAGGGCAGTCAACGGCCGTATGCTCGCCCTCATGCAGCTGCGATGAAGATGGGGGAGCAGACTGCTCCGGGAGAGGACTAACCACCGTCCCGACCGGGCTCGGGACTTTCACCTACTACCTGTAAGTGTAACCAGCATCCACAGTGAAATAAATCAACCTAAACCACCACTGTGTTCTCAAAAATACCCACCAGAAACGCCATAATGGGCGTCAGGCATCACTAGGTAAAGGTCCTTAAAGTTGGCTCCACTAAGATGTTGGGATAAAGGCTTCATACCTAAAGTGCAAATAGTCAATAATTCGTATTTTTGCCAGTTTAACCAATATAAGATACCCTTGTAAAATAGTTTTCTGCTTTGTTTTATATTATATTTATAAAGTAATTTTGTTGGGTTCATTGTAGTAGATGAATGGTTGCAAAATTAGAGATTTTCTGGAGACTATTGGTGGTAAATATTCCTGGTTTCAAAGAGGAATTTGCAGACCTGATTACCACGGTCTATTTTAAGCTGTTTCTTAAAATGTCTTGCCTGGATCAATGGACGGTTTCACTTTTGATATTGAATTATGTGAAATCAGAGTGGGTACCTGCTTCTCACAATTGATTGACTTTTAATTTGGGAGATTGAGATAAATCATTGATGGGAGTAACTGTAAACAATTTCCAATTTAGAAATTGCGCAACTAGAGAAATGATAAACAAAGGTCCTTTTTTTAACCAACACTTTAAAATTCTGTATGAATATTAAGGGTGTTTGGTTAAATACAGATGATAATTTAATTACTGTGTTGTAAAGTGCCTTGGGAGTTCCAGGACTCTGGAATGCGCTATATCAAATACGGGCCATTTGATGCGATATAAAAATTTAGCCTGAGTAAGATACAAGTTTTAAAGCTTTAGTTAGGTTGATTTAAGATATTCTTTATTGGATAACCTTTGCAGACTTGGACTTGTTTCTTCTGCATCCAAACGACTAAATAAGCAGCATTTATAGCTTTAACAATCCACATATTTATTACCACAATTTATAGCTCTGTAAGCATGGAGTGCCATTTCAGGTGTTTTTGTCAGATGCCCACTTTTGCCTCATGCACAAAGAAGGCAACAAAGAAACAAACCCGTATTTTCATGCAGATCCTACATTTACACTGCACTGTATTCAAAGATATGATTATTCCTCTGTGCAAGTAGATGCAGTGGTCTGTGCAGGTTCTGGAAATGATTGGATTGAATCCCTGAGTAATGTAACAAGTGTCAAGGTCACGTTGCGATAGCTGTGGTGGAGTAGTCTTCAGTGCCCTGTTCCCGGTACTTTGCTTTATGTACAAAATTTAGAAGTTGGATAGTTTTGTTATTTTATTTTCTGTTAAAGTACGGTTTCAAGGCTGGACACCCAGTCTCATAAAAAACGGGTAGACCTAAAGTGTTGCAGAAACAGTTGATGATTGCCTCGTGAAGGTAACTGTTGGTTTCACAACCTCTGGGTTAATCACAAACCAAAGCAATCACCCCTGACCGCTCTTACTCAAAAAACAAATAAGAGAAATTCTGACTTTACTTGGGTACAAGTTCATGTCAAATGCTGGACTTAGTTCAGACAATAAGATAAAAATGTTGACCCCCACAAAGCTTGTACTTATGGTCTTGTGTGTGGGAATGTTTGTGTTGTTTGGCAACAATTTAAACATCTTGGCCCAAACTTCATTGCACCAGGACCTATCGTATGCCACTTGAAGTGAAAATTGTCAAGCATGTGTGAAGTAAACTAAACAGTGAAGGTGGAAGGTGTCACGCAAAGCCTTGTGCTTATAGTTGTTATTCTCCACATCGCCATGAACGGCTGTAATCTTTCCAGTTTGTAATGGTGGTTTGACTTTTTAAAAGGTGTGGAACACTGATAAAAACTATTTTTAAATTATAATCTATCACTCGTTGGGTTTTTCATGCAGGCTGAACGTGAAAATAGTCTCCTACATATATTTTCTACATCTACCACTAATCTCGGAATCAAACTGGACCAACATTTATCACTTGAAAATCATGTCCGTCACCTTTCTAAAGTATCATTTTTCCATCAAAAAAAACATAGCAAGAGTTCGCCCGTTTCTTACCCAATCAGATGCTGAGAAGTTGATCCATGCCTTTGTTTCATCTAGGCTAGACTACTGCAATTCTTTACTTACTGGAATTTCTAGTGGATGCCTACAGAAACTTCAGCACATCCAGAACTGTACTGCCAGAATTGTGACAAGAGGTCACAAATATGACCACATGACACCTGTACTGAAGTCTCTTCATTGGTTACCAATCCCCTATAGAATTAAATACAAACTAGGTCTCCCTACCTATCAGTGTATCCACAGAAATGCTCCTATTTATCTTAAAGAGAGAAATCTTCGCTCTAGAAATTCTCAATTCCTGCAACAGCCCAGAACAAAACTTCATACCATGGGAGATCGAGCTTTTCCAGCAGCAGCCCCACACTTGTGGAACACACTCCCTGAAACATTGAGAGCACCTCAGAGTGTTGAATGTTTTAAAAAACATCTGAAGACATTTTTATTTACACAAGCTTTTCCAAACTGCTTGGTTTTGCTGTTGTTTTACCATGCGTTAACTTAGCATTTTATGGTTTTATGTATTTTTTTTTATTAGTTTTTATTCAATGTTTTTAATTATTCCTTACATTGTTTCTGATTTCCTACTGTAGCACTTTGAGATTTCATTGAAATGTAAAGTGTGTTACAGATAAAATCTATTATTATTATTATTATTATTATTATTATTATTATTATTATTATTATTATTATTATTATTATTATTATTATATTATTATTATTATTATTATTATTATTATTATTATTCCTACACCTATCTCCTGCTTTAGCTTCTGATAGAAAATAGATGGTAAAAATCTAGGATTTAAAACCCACGACAGATCTACATCACACCTTCACTTAACATTCATGGACTCATGGCTGTTGTTGGTTTAACGTCCAGACAACAGCAGAGAATGTCTTAACTAGTAGAAGCTAATTGTTAGCATTTGCAACTCCACCACATGGCAGAAATCTTTCAGGGTTGTGTTATTTGTGGAGATGAAACGGAGTCAGTGGTAGAGTCGTGTTGACATTGTCCAAATATCAGGAAATAAGACTCCAAATCCTGTCTTGTTCAGCTCAACTCTTATCTGGCTCGCTGCTAGTTCCTGAAACTGGTGTAGAGTATGAATTACAAGGCATTCATTCCAAGAAACCACCTCAAATGTATTGATTAAACGGATGTTCAACATCTTTAATCAGCCCGAAACCTGCTTTAACAAAAAATATTAAAGCAGTCAGAGCCTCGTAACCATCTATTTTATGCCAAGATGGACAAGAAGTGTGTATTTTAAGGATTCATGCTGTGTTGTGTTTTCATATTCTGCATTGCACATTGAGATCTAAATGCTCAGTGACAGGTTTAAACACTAAACTGCCTAATGGGTTCACCTTAGAGTTTTATAAGTATGTGAAAGTCTTTCCGTCTCTCTCTGTCCTACACTCTTTTGCTCTCCTGGTCTCTTGAACTCTATTTGTCCTCTCCCACTCCCTCCATCTTTTGTGTGTGGAGCAGTGGGGTTAGGGATCATGATGGATTAGTGTGACACATTGCAGCTGCAAAGGCTCCCTCTCCGGACTAATGCACCCACAACCTTATGCTGATGTCTTAAAGAAATAGCTCACGTAGAAGTGTTTTGTCTTTACATGGACTGCAGTTTCCATGTGTTTCCAATTAACATGGTGGAATAGTGGCTGGAAAAAGTAGAAAATCAAGTCAATTTGAGCAACAGAACAAGATTCAAGCTCCTTTAAAATTGTATTTTGTGCTCCAATGGTACAAATGCCTTATTATGTTGATGGGAATTAGACATAGTTTTGTTATGTAGCTACTGTGGGCTTGTAGGAAAAATAGTTCTGGAAATTTACACATTTTACAATAAACCACATGACTGTGTTGGCATAGACCTCTACCTGCAGCCTGTTGGGGTTTGAGTTATGGCTTCTGCAGCTACAGCCTTGTCACTGTAAAGCAGATGAGGGACAAGAGGTCTCCCAGCCAGCATTAAAGCAAACAGTCCTTTTGAGGGTACGTAGTTTATGTGTTTCTGACTTTCTGAAAAAGTTTATTTTTTGTTATATTTCCTGAAAACACTTTTGTGCACCGTGAGGGAGCTTGAGGGTGTTATTACAACTTATATGTTATTACAGCTTATATCTCAGCTATGTTAGGTTCTTTCATAGCATGAATGACGCTAAGCCTTCTGGGGGAAAACTGAGGGGTGGCGTCAGGGTTCTTGGTCCCAACTGGTGGAACTTGCCTGCTTCACCATTGGAGCCCTTGATCCACTTTAACTGAATGATACTTTTGTTCTTGGTCAGTAGAGGTGAAAGGAGCCACTCAGTAGTTCCCACCGCAAAACAGGATGAGCTGTGGACGGGAGAATATTAACATTTACCCCCTCACCACCACTCCTTTTTGCATTTTCTCTCATTTATTACCAGTAGTTCAATTCCCCAACCACAGTTGTTACTTGATTATTTCAAATTTTTAATTTGTAACTTTTAAATTTCAAATAATCTTAACATCTTCAACATGATCATGTGATGTAACGGCTAAGGATAAATAGCCTCAACATTTGTTATAATGTTACTGTTATTTCTTTTATATTAAAAAAAATATCAATGCAAGTACGGAAACCTTTTCAGCTTCTACTTCTTACAAGTGTTTAAGCATGATGACAGCATGATTATTGATACAACCTTCTATACAATATGCTGCCACCCAATATGTTATTGTGCAAACTACAGAATGTAAATGTGTAAAATCATTTCATTTCTATTTCAATATGGTAATTTTTGTCACAAAGACTTATGATCTTATTACTGCATGCAGTCTAAGGCATTATTACCTCACTTTTCTAGAAATAGTTTACCATAAGAAGGAGCTATACAAATACAGGCCATTTACTAACATAGTTTCTTCAGGTCTCTGTTGGTGACAGTAACCTGCAAACCTCAGTTAAAGATGGATCTGAAAATTTATTTTGTAGCACACTGAATAAAGCAAATGTAGGATA